TGGCCCCCTAAACGACACCTCTGGCAGATGATACAATTCCCTCGGTGTGGAAATTTGTACTTTTTGCATCTTTCTGCATCGCCCTGCCTTACCACCTGTGATTGGGCTCCAAAATTCCTTGTTATTCTCCTGCTTCTATCGAATTTCCCTCCAATTCTTCGGTCCCCATACTCCTCTATCTTCCGTTTTCCTTTGGTCAACCCTCCGGATCGCACATCATTGTTCGTGAGTTTCGTGGCAATTTCTACCGCCTCTTGGATAGTCTTTGGATTGGCAGAGGTTATGTTTCCCCTAATTTCTAGAGACAATGCCCAAATGTACCTTTCGATTAGAACCTCCTTTGGTGTCACAAGGTGCGGCACCAGGTTTGCCAATTCGTGAAATCTTGTCGTATACGCAGAAATATCGTCCCCTTTCATTTCGAGGTTCCACAATTCCATTTCCAACTTTTGGAGTTCACTCCTCGGACAGTATTTGTCTTTTAACAACTTCTTAAACTCCTCCCAGGAAATTCAATTAGCCGCTTCTCGGCCTCTGGTTTGCACTAGAGTGTTCCACCAACTGAGCGCCCTTCCTTGCAATAGGCATGCTGCGTACTCTACTTTATTCCCTTCGGTGCATTTGCTAATGTGCATGATGGATTCCACGCTCTCTAGCCACGATAGTAATCCTACCGTTCCCTTGGTTCCATTAAATTCCTTGGGGTTACAAGCTCTGAAAGTCTTATAAGTACATTCTCGCGGAGGTTTAGGCTCAGAGTTTGAAGTCTGGTTGGCATTCAGTCCAGCAGCCACTTGGCTGACTATATTGGGTAGAGCAGCGATAAGTTGGTCAGATACGAGTTGCGCTATATCGGGGTCCTCCCTTCTTGGCGGCATTTCTTTGGATCCTAATCATATTGGAATTCGTAAGTTTGATGGCAGAGCAAGGGTAATAGCATCCCAGATATTTCTATGGTACCCCAAAAGTGTTCTTCGCAGGGAAAATAATTAGGAAATACCAACACCAAAATAGAGTAAACTTATTTGTACAATAAATTGGCATAATATGTATTCTTCAAAAGGTGCCCATGCATTGAAATTGAATGATGAGTACAAGACAAGATCCCTAACGTCTGAACAAAAGAGTATCCTATTTCAAATTTTCTTCTAG